TATTTATCGCCAAAATTGGTAAATGTATGTACCTAAATGTCTATTACAGCTGCTATGGAATGTATCTAGGTGACCTGGAGATACAGCCGGATTATACAGGGTGGAAACNCCGGATTATACAGGGTGGTTATACATATGGAACGATAAGTGATCTCACTCGATTATTTCTAAACTATACAAGATATCGAAAAACTAGTTACTGATTCTGAAAGTGCTTCACGAGCTCTTTCAAATGATACCAAATAATAGGTAACAGATTATAGAAGCTGATAACATAGAATTTTTGGATTTTGTAACTTCTCGTTTCCACCCTGTATAATCCGGCTGTATCTCCAGGTCACCTAGATACATTCCATAGCAGCTGTAATAGACATTTAGGTACATACATTTACCAATTTTGGTAATAAATAGGCATTTTGTATTAGTTTTTGTATAACGCCTGAACAAAAACAAAGGGTAATATTTTGGTGTTATACATAGATTTCGAATATAAAAAATATATAATTTAACTAATTAAGACATGACAAAAAAACTGAGGTATGTCTCGTTTCTGTCGGGTCTGGGTTTTTTTTGTATGGGGCGTGACCGTTCTTCATTATTATAGAAAATGATAAAAAAAGAAAAGTTAGCCCTTATGGGGCACTTTACATGTCTCCTTATCTTTTGGGCCCTACCAGCGCTTCGAGACAAACATATGGCAAGTGCTGAGAAGAAACGCCGGAACAAACTCAGTCACCACTAATTGCCAGGAATTATCTAACGGTAGGAATAACCAAATTCGAGTACATCAAATATGTGCAGACTGAACTGACCACGCATCCTTGTCATCAATATAGTCTCGAACCTTGTAGTACCCTTTGGACATAAGGGTATTTTTTATATGTATCTTAAATTTGTTTATTGTTAATTCGACAAGGTTGTGTGGTATTTTGTTAAATATGGTAATACATTTCCCCAAGAATGAATTACCTATTTTATGCAACCTAAAAGATGGAACAGCAAGTTTTTTCTTATGTCTCGTGTTAAATATTATCTGCTCTGTAAAGATTATTTATAACTGCCAAGCTCGCATATTTTTTTTGTAACTACAATAAATAGAAACTTTGTAAACCCTTGAAAAAGAGGCTGACTATAGTCACAAGAGTTTCTTGCGCTATTTCTTCTCAGCACTGGCCCATTTATGGTCCCCCAAAGCAGTGACAAGGTTAACACTGGAACGTGTAAAAGCGCTTTTTAAAAGCCTATTTGCAAAAAATAAATTTTGGTGAGCAATCAATGCTACTCAGATTTAAAAAAAACCACGATGATGATGTGTGAATTGTGTGATTCAATTTACATACCTATATTAACTCATAAAAGCCTGAAAATAACAGAACAAGGTTGTAATATCATGTAAAGAACTTTTTCGATCGATTTACATTGTGATTGAGCCCCGCTAAATAAAGCCTAAACGTCCCTCGTGTACTTATGGGCTCCAATGTGGCTCTAAGCAATTAGGTCAACCTTCGCCTCGACACAGCCCGTGTGTAATCAACAGCTCATCAGACCACGGGGCTATTCCCACTTCTCGTTTCCACCGCTCACTGACCTTTAGGCGGGTTTTAGAGTCACGCTGACCGTCAGCGCTGACAGCCGAAATGTATGAAGCGTCGGCGCCGAGCGACCAGCGTCACTCAGGAACGTTACCTTCAATGACATACATTGATCTGTCAGCGCCGACGATCAGCGAGCGGTCAGCGCGATTCTAAAACCAGCCTTAACACAGGCTGTCTCATACAAATGACAGGTAATATTGTGTGCCAATTTGAAGCGCCACTACGAGTGTCCCGAGTCGTACATTATATGGAGTAATATAGGAGTAAGCGAGAAAGAAAATCACAAATTTAGTTCCATGGACACTCGTATCTGCCTACAGTATGGCTTACAGCGCCAAATGGCGAACATCAAATAGGCACAAAAATATTACGACAGCACCCAGTCCAGTGTGTATAGAGGTCAGTGCCGCCGCTGCAACTCCTGTTTAGCCAGGATCTACAGCTTGACCGTCACCCAACCAGTGAAGGCCAAGTTTGTCCCGGGGGAAATCAAACTGTCATTGGACCCGCAACGAAATTAATCAGAAGAACACAGGAGTTCGAAGTTAAGGTTCGACTTCTCTCCACTACAATGTGGACGCTAACTTTGTCTCATCATCATCATCTCAGCCATAGGACGTCCACTGCTGAATATAGGCTTCCCCCAATGCTTTCCATGTTGCTCTTTGTCTGGGAAGCAGGAAATTAATGCTTATCGTGTCAATTGAAATGGGCTGGCTGTTCAACAATTGGTAATGTGCCCATATTAATAAAACTGTTGACTCATGTGTGTCGGGGCGAATCAATTGCCACAAAGTTCGTTGTCTCGCCTTGTAAATGTGGCAGACTCATAATAGGGTGATAAAAATAACCAATAAACTGTTGCTTTGTCATAAGGGTCAATTTCAGTTGACCTTAGTACCTAACTAAAATACACCCGGTCGAGGTTACTGCGCAAATGGCGGTCGTGGCGTCACATCGAGGCTCTGTACGGCAAGCACGAAAAACTTTCGAGTTCGAATCGTTTGAGTATAAATCGCGATCAAAAGATTTAGTACGAAAACTACAACAGCGCCCTTGTGAACGTGTCTTAAAGTGAACTTAGTATGAGAAATGGTTGCACGAAACTTATTTTGAGAATCAAAATTGTCACGTTATCGTTGAATTCGAAGGTTGAGAATCGAATTTTGTCGAATACGCAAACGATTCGAAGACGAAAGTTGTTCATGTTAGATGTACTGGTACAACGCTGCGGGGCTAAGGCGGAGAGATGTGCGGGTGAGTGCGAGGGAGTCCAATGAGGGCTATTATACTTAACAGTTGGCACCCCTGGCGATTGACAGGACCTTACTCTACAGTGGCGCCATCTTGATGAGTGCAAATGCGATAGTCCTCCTACCACTTTCGCGCTCACCAGTTGGTGCCACTGTCTTCGCTACTAGCAAGTGACAGGACCTTACTCTACAGTGGCGCTAACTGGTGAGCGCTAAAACGATAGCCCTCATTTCAGCGAGGTGCGCAGTTAACTTGACTAAGTTGTAGTTTTCATGTAAACACTACTTAATTACTGGTGATTATTTTCTTTAGAGACTTAAAACCATGATTTGAAGCGATATTTAAAGTGAAAATAGCCGGTGTCGGACTTGCCGAATAGTAGGAACGCGAGTTCGAACTCCGCCGCTGGACTATTGTGTGTGATGAACCCACTCGTAATCGTCACAAGATATAATATCATTGGTCACAAGCATTTATCTTACCACGAGGGGTTAACAGGGACAAGTTACACAGTTTCGGGTCACGGGACTATTCCCACCTCTCGTTCCCACCGCTGCAACTCCTGTGTAGCCAGGATCTACAGCTTGGCCGCCAATAACCCAACAAGGTCAAGTTTGTCCCGAGGGAATGTGTCAATTTTAAATTTTATGTGTCAGCTAACTTACTCGTAACAATTTTACCGGTGAATCTGACTTTTAATCATTACCTTTTGACGATTACCAAAATGGCTGCCACAACACAAAATCACATGACTGTGCAGTTCATTTCCATTCCAACGCAAATGACCAAAAAATACGGTAATTACGCGAAACTATTGCCGGAGCGATGGTAAATAATTAAGCCATTTCACGGGCAGAAGGCCGGTCTTAATTAGTGGGTAGACAAAGTTGGAGATAGATGCTGCAACCTTACCTTAATGGGGCAGTTGACACCGTTAAACAATTCCAAGGTTTACCACCACCATTATCCAAACGACTTCTTTCTAAAGCCTGGTCCGTGAGCACGTAGAATTTTGTCCAATGAGTCAGCACAGTCGCGACAGCAATATAATTACGCGCGAGCGATAATGATGGGTAGCTTGGGGTCATTGGACAAAATTCTACGTGCTCACGGACCAGGCTTTACATCACATTATATTGGGATGGGGACTATAGATCGTTTCATCTACGAAGATGCGTCCCACATTCTTCCGCTAATGTTTGAGTGTTATCGGTACACGCTAAATCATCCATGAGTGCACACGCACTACAATAATGACGCTCGGATTGCTCGGATCAAACTCCCCGCTCCCCGCGCAACCGAGACCAAACATTGCTGGGGCGCGTCTTCGTGGATGAAACGATCTGTGCTAGCATATTATTGGTTACGGCGGAGTGTATCCCACCCTTTCTGTGGATGTCGTAAAGGCGAATAACTAAGGTACAAAATATGGTCTAAGGAGCGTGAAATCCTCCATTTGCCTCGGGAAAATTAGAGAGGGTGGTTCTGCAGTGGAGACTAAATGAACTGGACGAAGACATCATATAATAACACTTGATAATTATGTGAGCTCCTTTTTAAACTAGGATCACAGTTTAAACACCTGAAACGTACCATAATGTTCTTCTGATTAATTTCGTTGCGAGTCCAATGACAGTTCAACTTTTCCCCGAAACAAACTTGACCTTCACTGATTGGGTTATTGGCGGTAAGCTGTAGATCCTGGCTACACAGGAGTTGCAGCGGTGGGAACGAGAGGTGGGAATAGACCCGTAACAAATACACCCCAACACAAATATCTCTCTATATTGTGGCTTCTATTACTGACCTAGTCTACGCCTGTTTATTTCCAGTTGTTGAACAACTAATTAGTCCGGTGGATCCGCGAATTGTCCGCGAACGTAGACGTCCACAAGTCTATTGTCCCAGACATTTTGTCTGCCAATTGCCATGCTCTATTGAACAAAGAATCGATTTTATTGCTGTATTTTCCTTGTGTAGTGCATTTCGCAATATTGACTTGGAGTTAGAATGAATGACAATGTTATTAGCTCATCAGAAGTAACACTTTTATAGTATTGCGTTTATTATTCTCAAAATAAGATCGATTTTAACACTCAACAGTTTGATATGCCAGAGTATCTTTGACGGTTTTTGTACGCTTTTCGCATTGAAATCGACGAAACTTTTCTCTTTACAATCTAGGAGGTAGATGTATAAAAATGACCATATCCTTATTGCTCGAATCCACTCTTCAAAGTTCATATAACTCAGGAACCCAGTGACAACTACAAGAATGTAGCAACAAGCTCCAAGCATTCACTATCGAACTAGCCATATTACTCTCCAAGCATGCTATGAAAACGGACACCCTGGCTGGCACCAGGACACAAAGCGGGGAGCCGCCGCGCTCCACCGCCTATTACTACGCAGACCTTGAAAGACTCAAGAAGAACAAAACTTCTCCAGAGCCGATACCTCAAGAAGAAACCCAAAACCCGAACGACCTCAGCGAATACGTAGAATCCAATGAGGTCATCAACGATGGTGCCATCAGAGAAGTCCCTCCATTCCGCGACAGACGGCAGTGGAGTCTTCCCGAATACTCCACCCCCGAAAACACGAGGAAGTTGGAAGAAACATATTCCACAGCTGGGACTTTTCCCATGCCAGAACCAAAGGAGAAGGAACCGTTATTGGCGGAGTTGGAAGTTGTGGGAAGGCTGCCGTTGACTCAGCTGGATTCTTCTCCAGGGGTCAGGAGAAGCAGGAGCTGGTATCTCTGCTGCCCGAATGTGGCTGACGAGGAGATCTCGAGGGAGTCTTCGTGGAGGTACTCCAGCCTCAGGCCGGTGACTGCTCCGCCGCTGCCTGGGCAGAATGGAATGAGCGAGCTGGTATGTCTTAGAGCTAGATTTTGGTGTATGTATGTCTGATTTTAACTGAAGTGTTTTTGTAAAATCTGATTGTGAATACATACAGTGTGAGTCACGTTAAAGTGTACATATGAAAATAGATGAAACTAGACCTATTTTTATCGACAAAAAAGAGGTCAAAAAATTTTTGAGTTTTTTTTTTTTATTTTTTATAGAATTTTTTTCTTTCAATTACTTATTGTAAAGAAAACGTAATAACTTTTAAACTAAGCGGTATATCCTGATAAAATAAAAACTGTAATAATGCTAAATAACAGGCGATACTAAAAAAATACATACAATGCACAAAAAATGCCAACAAGTAATAAAAAATGATACTTTTTGAAAAAAATCTGCTTAAAAATTCGTGTTTTTTTGGTTATTTGATAAATTTCTCCAAAAAATGCCCCTATAACAGGTGGTTTTTATTGTTGTGTATTATTCTCTATCGTATTACCTTTGTAAAACCAAAAATTGCATGTCTCTATCCCTATCACAACATTTGCTATGATAGTTTGAACAAAGGCCTACCACAACATTATTCTCCTCTACAGGTAGGGACAATTTTAATTTTAACTAAAATGCTTATTTTACTTCGAAATCTTTTGTTTTTACTTGAAATCTAACTTGTCTTTATCAAAATTACAAATCTAGAGCCATTTTCAGTTTCGTTGTTAACGAAGCGTTGAATGGCGCGCCCGGAGAGGCTTGGTTCGAACGATCATAGCAAATGTTGTGATAGGGATAGAGACATGCAATTTTTGGTTTTATAAAGGTAATACAATAGAGAATAATACAAAACAATAAAAACCACCTATTATAGGGGCATTTTTTGGAGAAATTTATCAAATAACTAAAAAAACACGAATTTTAAGCAGATTTTTTTCAAAAAGTATCATTTTTTATTATTTGTTGGCATTATTTGTGTATTGTATGTATTTTTTTAGTATCGCCTGTTATTTAGCATTATTATTGTTTTTATTTTATCAGGATATACTGCTTAGTTTAAAAGTTATTACGTTTTCTTTACAATAAGTAATTGGAAGAAAAAAAATTCTATAAAAAATTAAAAAAAAATCGCAAAAAAATTTTGACCACTTTTTTGTCGATAAAAATAGGTCTAGTTTCATCTATTTTCATATGTACACTTTAACGTGACTCACACTGTATAGAGCCCATGTGCTCAATAAATTCCTATTTACTCGAGTCTTATGCCTGTTTTCACCATCAATCCCTAATTATTTTTTTAAGTGACCCATGTGAAAACTAAATTCCTGTTATGTGTTATAGGGGTCACTTAAAAAATAGGGATCGATGGTGAAAACGGGCATTAACCCCGCAAAGCAAGGCACAAATAAATAATACATCAATTGTTACGCGGTCATAATGCGACCACATGGGGATTGATTGGCTAAAAATAAGAAAGAAAAATATTTTTCTTCATCATCTTGGCGATATCACACATTCGTACAACATGTAGTTACTCATAGGTCGAGAAAACAGTGGATGTCTAAGGGAGAAATATGGTCACTTAAAGCCTCCCAACCCGTCTGGCCAGTGTGGCGAGTGTAGACCAAATCCTCCATTTGCCTCTATAATTCAACTAGCGGCCGCCCGCGACTTCGTACGCGTGAATCCCGTTTTTCCCGCTAATTCCCGTTCCCGTGGGAATTTCGGGAATTCCTTTCTTAGTGCACCTCTACGGTACCTAAGCTACGTCCCTTCCAAATTTCAAGTGCCTACGTTTAGCCGTTTAGGCTGTGCGTTGATCTGTCAGTCAGTCAGTCAGTTTCTCCTTTTATATATTTAGATTTAGATTAGAGATCCCTTCTGGAGTGGACACTAAAGACCAAATGTTCATGATAAAAATAACCCCTATCATTTCTTTCCAGGTGCTAACGCACAGCAGCGGCCGAGAGGACGTGGCTTCACTGCGGGCGGAGCGTGACGCGCTAGCTCGAGCATTGTCAGCGGAGCGACAGCGCGCGGCCACGGCCGCTAGAGCCCACGACGCGAGGCTAGCGGAGCTGCATGGCGTCATAGCGGAGCTGGTGAGGCGGCGCGCCGCTGACAAACACGCCGCGGCCATACCCGAGGAGGAATTGTCAGGTAAGACAGTTATTGGTTTCACTGCAGAGCTGAGCGTGACGCTTTCGCGCGGGCTTTCAGAGATGCTGTACGGGCGTTAAAACGAGGTGCGGCGACGGAACGTATCTTATAGAGCCAGGGATGCTGCGGTGCGATGACGGAGCGACAACGCAGCGGAGCGCAGTATTTTTAGAATGTCCTAAGTGATAGCTGCTCCTTCATAGCCTGACTGATTCGGTTTAGTGGCGTTGCATTGCGACATTGCGCCGCTCTTGTGGCTCTCAATGCGTTGACATCATACTCTGTTACGACGCAGCGCTTTGGCATCGCGAGTAGGGCATGGCATCTTTCTATGTATGCATATCGGCGGAGCTACGGCCGCTAGGGCCCACGACGCGAGGCTGGCGGAGCTGCATGGAGTCATAGCGGAGCTGGTGAGGCGGCGCGCCGCTGACAAACACGCCGCGGCCATACCCGAGGAGGAACTCTCTGGTAAGACCGTTATATTGTACAGATTTTATATTGACAAAGCCTCGGTGTGAACGTAGCGCAGTATTTTTTAGAATGTCATAGGTGACAGCTGCTTGGTCAAAGACTGACTGATTCACCATTGCTACAACGTCGGAGTTGGTTGGAGCCTCTCACGCAGTCTTTCAGAGATGTTTGACAGCTGCTTGGTTAAAGATTGACTGATTCACCAATGCACAAAGCGGCGATGCGTTGCGACATCGCACCGCTCTTGTGACAATGCATTGACATCATCACGTTGTTACGACGCAACACACCGACAACGCTAGTGCGGCATCTTTGTCCACGTCGGAGCATCAGCGGCCAGGGCCCACGACGCGAGGCTGGCGGAGCTGCATGGAGTCATAGCGGAGCTGGTGAGGCGGCGCGCCGCTGACAAACACGCCGCGGCTATACCCGAGGAAGAATTGTCAGGTGAGTAGTTATGGAGGTCTTGGCTTCACTGCCAAGCGGAACCTTAACTTCGAACTCCTATGTTCTTCTGATTAATTTCATTTCGGGTCCAATGACAGTTTAACTTTCCCCCGGGACAAACTTGACCTTAATTGGTTAGGTTTCCTGGCTACACAGGAGTTGCAGCGGTGGGAACGGGAGGTGGGAATAGTCCCATGCCAAGCGGAAAGCCTTTTTGGCCGAGCGTAAGGCTGGGCGTATGGTCCACTGCAGTGAAGCGAAGGAGTAATTGGGAGTTTCGTAAAGTGTATGTCCATATACGCGGAGATTATAGCGGAATAGAGAACGTATGCGGAGCGGAGATGACTGTGTTTTTCCATACACGGACGGAGTTAAGCTGCGAGCAAGCGACGAGTCATTTTTTTTTACGTAGTGACAAATTTATGTTTGACCAACCAAGGAGATGACGCTCTTTCCAACTGTGGCTTTCATATAATTACCAACATTTTGGTCCAGACAATTTACGTATTGTTTTACTAAGCTGTTGAATGGACCGAATATAAAATGTTTCTTTCTCTCTTATTGCAGATGAGTGCGAGTCGACCACGCAGCCGGCTGGCGAGCTCGACAACGATGCGGACAGATCCCGGACTGAACAGGTCAGTACGACTTAGACATTGTGAATAAGATTTAAAGAAGCCCCCTCTGAATGCAGGGGACTGGATATCATTGGGGGAGGCCTATGTTCAGCAGTGGACGTTCTGTGGCTGATGATAAAGCGCCGCAAAAACTCGGGCTAGTTGGTGTCATTGCTATCTGCGATTCATCATCATCATCATTTCAGCCATAGGACGTCCAATGCTGAACATTGGCCTCCCCCAATGCTTTCCATGTTGATCGATTGGTAGCGGCCTGCGTCCAGCGCTTCCCTGCTGCTTTTACGATGTCGACTATCTGCGATTAATTAAAATAAATTATATCCAGGACAGCGTAGGATCAGTCGTGGAAATCCTTGGGGGAGGTCTTTGTCCAGCAGTGAACGTCACTTGTCTGAAACGAATATCCAGGAGACATATCCAGAAGCATAAATTGCAGAGCCGACCCACTGCCTCCTTTCACCCTGGGAGAAAGGTTCATCCTACCTCCATGGCAACTTCTTAGTTCTTCTGATTATTTCTTCGGTTTTTTGACAGTTTAACTATCCGCTTGAGACAAATTTAACCTTCATTGGTTGGGTTTTTATGGCGGTCAAGCTGCAAATCCTGGCTACACAGGAGTTGCAGCGGTGGGAACGAGAAATGGGAATAGTCCACAACGTTTAAGTTTCCTTACCCTCACAGAATGATTCCTCATCCATGCTGAGTCCTGAGGAGCTGCCGACTCCTCAGGAGCCGAAGCAGGACCAGCTGCCTGATGATACCAGCGAGTCTAGCACGCAGGAGATACCAATCGGGTGAGAACTATTTTATAAAGCTCAGCTTTTTTATACCTTACATCCATCTATACCAGCGGTTCCCAAACTTATGTAGTCTACTGCCCACTTTGACAATAAATTATTTTTTAGCGCCCCCATTTTTGTAGTCAAGAGTCGAGCTCGGTCGGTGTCTAAGAGTCCTCCTAGTAGATGACGCCTCCCAAGCCTCTACACAACGTCCCGATTTTTTTCTGGGTCTCTTACCGCCCCCCTTTAAGCCTGCAGCGCCCACAGGGGGGCGTTATCGCCCACTTTGGGAAAGACTGATCTATACTAATATAAGTTTGCTTTTTTTTTAACTTTAATCAAATTTCGGAAACTACGGGTCCGATTTGAAAACTTAATTTTGTGTTGGATAGCCCATTTATCGAGGATGGTTTTAGGCTATATTATAACATCACCCTACAGCCAATAAAGGAGCAGTAAAGAAATACTCGTATGTTGCAAAAACGGGGAATATTATTCAAAATATTTTCACGCGTACGAAGTCGCAGTCTGTAATATGTAGGCCCTTTTCAAGGCACTTAGGCCCGGTTTCCACCAAAGCGGAGCGGAGCGGAGAAGTGTCAGCCGTCAAATTTTCTATTGAATTTAACAGCAGTGGCGGCGCGGCGCGTAACGGAGAAGCGGAAATAATGAAACCCATCAAAAACAATACTTGTCAAAAAAACCAAGTCTCGCAACTCAGTTGTTCTACGGTAAAAAGTTGTGAGATCCATGTAATACCAAGTCCAGGCCAAGAAATAAAGATTTCCTGGCCTGGACTTGGTATTACATAAATACGTTTTACATAAATATATTGACTTGGCCATCGCATGAAAACACGTGTAAATTTTTGATGGGATCTCATTTCTTTTTGTATTTTGTAGACAGCAGTTATGTATCTAGAAAACTGGACCGAAATTGAAAAATTTTACTCGACTTGGCGGTTGCACTACCGTGCCCCCAAATATTTTAGTTTTTCCTTGATTCATACACCAAACACTACTTATATTCCAAATTTGAAGCTTCTAGGTCTGCTAGAAGTGCCTTAGAATTTTGATGATCGGTGAGTCAGTCTCAGTGAGTCAGTGAGTGACAAAATTAAGTAACTTTGACCCGTTATAATTCTTAAACTACTGGTTCAAATTGAATGAAATTTTAAATATACCGTGTCTTTACAATGCCTGCATAGCTAATGAAAATTCAGCCTTCTAGTTTTATCCACAACGAAGTTACAGGCAGTCGAAAATGGCCTGAATTGCTTCGAGAAAAGGATGGTACGGCCGTGCCGCTTTTTTGCTCGACTTGGTGGGGGCACTGCCGTGCCCCCAGATGTAATTGGTTATTCAACACACTTTTCTGTTCCGCTCCGCTTTAGTAGAAACCGGGCCTTATACATGTCCCAGCATGTTGGCTAGTTTCCTCTGGTAGAAAACAGCCTAGTATTTTTATCATAATTATGTATTTCCAGGGCGGAACAACGAACGGAGGCGGCGCCTGAGAGCGGCAGCCTGCATCTATCCGGGCGGGACTCGGAACTGTGCCTCAGCACTGCCAGGTAAGGCCGCTGCAGTCATCATCATCTTATCATCAACCGTGTGCTTAAAGTCCAAAGATTTTGAAACGTCAAGTGGCAAAAATCAAAAACTAGCGTAGGTCACCTATAATTCTATACCATGAGTTTACGTCAGGTGAGCATAAAAATTGGGGATGTTATGGATATGTAGTTTCGGTTATAGATACGGTTACGGATATAGGAATAATATTATACCGGTTTCGGTTATGGTTACGGATGTTTTTTTATTTCGGATATCCGAAAGTTTCGGTTACGGTTACGGCTATCCATAACATCCCTGATAAAAATGACATTAAATTATGACATAAACTGTACAGCGTCCCTAGAGCGATTACTTTTAAGAACTAAAATCTTCATGATTTTTTTTGATGCACTCGCTAACGAGCACACCTAACGTAAACTCATGGTAAGTGGGTACACATGTCCTTTAGATTTCGAATTCGGTTTTGTCATTAAACTGGACCAGTAAAACAGTATTCAGTTTAGACGTGTACTCTTAATTAATCAAGAAAAAACGGGATACTACCGTGTGAACATACAAAACCAGTTTTACGGGATCGATCCCACAGAACCTGGGAAAGGGCCTTTTTTCATTGGACTTCTAAGAGCGCTTTATTTAAAGCCTATATGCAGAAAATTAATTATTTGTACAACCCATCGAACTAAGGCGATTATCACACTGCGCCGCGCTCCGCCGCGGTACGCGGGACGACAGATTTAATCATTGTATGCAAGTATCTCAGTTTGTATAGAAAACACGCACAGCACAACACACTGACAACGCGTCTGCGCGCGGGATTTTTTATATGAAATCACGCGGACCGCAGCGGAGTGCGGCGCTGTGTGATAAGCTAACTGCGCACCTCCCTGCGCTCGCCCCGTCCGTACCAGTGCGCAGTTAACTTGTATGTGTATGCGTTGTCTGCAGGTGTTGCCAGTTCGCGCGCGGCTGGTCGGCCGGCGACAGCTGCGAGCGCGGCAGCGAGCCGAGGGTGTTGCCAGCCGAGCCAGGTAATATTAAAAGGATTAAAAGTGCTTTTTATAAGCCTACTTGCATAAGTAAATGACTTTTTTTATTAGCATAATATTCAAGCTTTTGTGAGCAGAAAATGTAATCTATCAGCAGAAATAGGTAATTGGTCATTAAACCATGACTAGCAAACATTATTAATTCGACCAGTTTATCATTTTGCGCATTCTTTAAAATAATTTATCTAATTCAATATCTAAAAGAATCTCCGGAAGAACGGAAGAACATAGGAGTTCGAAGTTAGGGTTCGACTTCCCTCCAGTGCGGATGACAGGTGACAAAACAAAGGCTTATGCCCGTTTTCACCATCAATCCCTTGGAATTTTGTTTTCAAAGGGGTCACTTAAAAATTAGAACCAATCTACCCTTATATGCCTGTACTACTCACTGATCAGAAGCATCTTGGAGTATGGTTGTGTAATCTGGTCGCCATTCTATAATGTTCACTCGGACCGAATTGAGGGTGTCCAAAGAAAGTTTCTGAATATTCTTTGCTTCAGATTGGGTTTGGGTCGCGAATATAGGTCATACAGGGCAAGGCTACAGCGCTTCAAAATGACGTCTCTGGCCTCCAGACGTGAATGTCTTGAACTGGTCTGTCTGCACAAGATTTTGCACTCTGAACTTGATTCACCAAATCTTCTTTCCCTTCTTAATTTTAACATTCATTACAAATCCCGAAACCCTACCAAAAAATTATTTTCGCTCCAAGTCTACAAAAACAATACCTCTTTTTACAACCCTATAGCCAGAATGTGCAGACTTTATAATGACACTGTCACTGAACACTCTTCTTTGGACATATTCTGTTCTAAGCTGTCCAAATTCAGGAGAGATATCCTGAATACGAGTATAAAGTTAAGTTGTCCTTTGTAAACTTTAATAACACTTATTAACATTAAATACTAAGCATAAAATAAGTTAAACTAACACTACTTACCCTCTTTATTTCATCATTTTCAATTCATTCTGTGCACACATGTTTAGAGTTGCGGTTTAGATTAATCTATGGAATATTATCGGTGCCTGAATATGACTGTAACTTGTTTTGTGAGCCTTAAATAAATAAATAAAATAAATAAATAAATTAGGGATTGGTGGTAAAAACGGGCATTAGTCTATCGATGTAGGACTATCAAAGCAACACATTTACAGCAATGACCTTATTCTATTATATTGCAGGGCGGTGTGAGTCGCGGCAAGCGAAGGTCGCTTCGCGGGTGCGATTGCGAAAAACTGACGAGACGGATTCCAACCAACACCTCAGTGCCGAGGAGGTGAGTGGAAACAGTATAACCTGCACTATCCTCATCATCATCATCATCATTATCATTATCATTTCAGCCACAGGACGTCCACTGCTGAACTTAGGCTTCCCCAATGTAGCTCTTTTCTTGCAGGCGTGGTGTTATCTAAATATAGTTATAACTCAAAGGTGACTGACTGACTGACTGACATACGCCCGTTTCCTATATTCAATCCTTGTCCAAATCCGGATTACAACTGTCAAATTGAATTCAGTCTTAGATTATATTTCCAAAATGTTCGAAGCATTTACACTTTAACATTGTTTAAATAGTCATATAAACAATATAAAAATGCAAAAACATCAAAAACCGCAGATATTTTGGCCAAAAACATATTAAAATTTGACAGTTGACAATCCAAATCCGTCCAATTTAGATTAGGATTGAATATAGAAATCCAGCAATAGTGATCTATCAACGCACAGCCCAAACCACTGGACGGATCGGGCTGAAATTTGTCATGCAGGTAGATGTTATGACGTAGGCATCCGCTAAGAAAGGATTTTACGAAACCACACCTAAGGAGGTAAAACGGGATCTACGCGTACGAAGTCGCGGGCGGCCGCTAGTGTAAAATAAATTAAGTTTTAACGATTCAGATTTAGGGCTGATTTTTCAATAGCCGGATAACTTTTGTCTGAAGAATAAGTTTGGCATATTTACAGTTTTAGTATGGGAAATATGTCAAAATGACAAGTTTATTATTTAGTTAAAAGATAACTGACGATTGAAAAATCAGCCATTGCTCATGTAAATTACCCAATTTTACCTACTTTAATTAACTGAATAGTGAGATAGACCGATATGTTTGCCCATAAAGTCTCACCCGCAAGCTTCCTCAGTTATTCCGTGACCATGGCGCTTGCAACAGTGCCGAAATATCGGAAACACAAAATTAAGGTACATGGTAGCAATCCCGTCAGTAATAATAATTAATTATGTTAGTGACCATGAAAGTTTAAAACAATTTAATCAACTGTATTGGCACTTTTATTTCTAGGCGTGGTGTGCGGAGGCGGCAGAACGCTTGGCGTTAGACGTGTGCGCTCAAGCCGATTTGCGTGAAGCTCTGGCAGCCGCCTCCAATGACGGTGAGTTGGTTCAGCTGTGATTTGTAGAATGTAGGTGAAATAAGACAAAATAAAAAATAAAACTAATGGTTTCGTGATTAGACACGTTGTTCTACCTAAATCAAGCTTCCACGTACTCTTTGTTAAAAATATTATGAAATCTAAGGCTTTTTCAGGCACTATCATTTTCATTCTTCGATAATGATATTCTAAAACACATCAATTATCCTTTCGTCTCACTATCTTCATTACTTCCGATCCGAGGAACGCGGGTTCGAATCCCGCCGCCGCTCGACTATTGTGGTGAGCCCACTCGTAAAACCAGCGTATGCCTGCGGCTTCACCCGCTTAAAATTTAGTGTCAAACATCGGCATAAATTATAGCCTATATGTTAATCTGGGTTACAAACAATAATACTGTAAAGTTTTAACAAAATCCGTTCAGTAGTTTTTGCATGAAAGTGTAATAAACATCCAGACATCCAAATTTTCGCATTTGTTTAGTAGGACGAAAGGATAACGGGATTATTAGTAATTTGATTTTACTTCGTGGTATTCGTGGTGGAATATTCTTTAAAAAATGACCATCATTTGTCTGTAATAAATGTTACAGTGTCCGGTCCACTTATGAAACTTGATGTTCAGTTATAACAAGTTATGTTTTATTTCCACGGCATTGTCCATAAACTCTAATTTAATCACCGCTCGTTGCAGACTGCGTGTGGCGCGTGCGTTGGTTACGCGCAGCAGCCGAAGAGCGTGTCTTACGCGCCGCACTCGCGCGCTCCGCTGACACCGCGCGACGTTTGCTACACGCGTGCGGGGAGCTTGAAGCCGCTGCAGTCGCTGTGTGTGCTGCGTTGGCAGCCGCTGATCGCGCTTTAGAAGCATATGATGTTCTGTTAGCACTTGCGGAGACGAGCTCTACGCATCACCAGGTTAGATACGCAACTGTTTTAACACAATCACCAAACTTCAGATGACCGCCTATGATGGATGTCTTATTAGCACTAACCGAAACCAACGCCACGCATCACCAGGTAGCGTAATGCATTGTTTTAACGCAATCACTTAACGCTACATATTATATCATAACTATCTACAATAAAGTCTCCGCTAACATCGCCTGGCGACGATTGCTACACGCGTGCGGGGAGCTTGAAGCCGCTGCAGTCGCTGTGTGTGCTGCGTTGGCTGCTGCTGATCGCGCTTTGGAAGCATATGATGTTCTGTTAGCACTTGCGGAGACGAGCTCTACGCATCACCAGGTTAGATACTAGGGCATGCAAACCGGTTAACCGGATAACCGAAAAAACCGGATAACCGACACAATTTAGAACTCGGTTTTTGTCAGTTATAAATCCGGGTTTTTCGGTTTTTTCGGTTTTTCTTCTACGATTTTAGATAATTTAATAACTCATACAAGAACACGCTTCTTTAGTCATATCAATAAAAACAATTATTGTAATGCAATGTGGAAGCGGTACCAAGGCTCCAAAGTGTTCGCAAGAGACAACTCTATTGGGCAAAGCCAGCTGACGAAGCTAACGACGGCGGACGGTAGTGTAACGTCAACAAAAGCCGAGGTTCTGGGTGAGATCGAGAGGTTTTATGGACAGCTATATACCTCGGTCACCAAACCCGTTGATAGCTCAACTTCAGATCCAAGAGCTAAGCTAACTCGACACTATACCGAAGATATCCCGGACATCAGCCTATACGAGATTAGGATGGCTCTCAAACAGCTAAAGAACAACAAGGCACCGGGTGATGACGGAATAACATCGGAGCTTCTGAATGCGGGTGGAACACCGATACTGAAAGTCCTTCAGAGACTCTTTAACTCCGTTTTCTTCTTCTTTTTTGATGATGTTGGCAATACACGTCGAGGTCGACTTGATTTGTGCCATTTTCCAGTATATAAGTGATACGAGTTACAAAATGAGATCAAGTAATGATATAATGAAGGATGATAGATGATACCCTTTCCCACCCTTTGAGTCTCAGTAAAGTTGTGGTGCTTTACTGAGACCTCCTATGGACAACTTGAGAGAACCAGAAGAATCACGATGCACTGTTTTGCTTCACTTGCCCACACCCATGGACGTTCACGAACACTCAATGGTTAATAATCCACCATTATTACACATTAATAGTCGCCCACACACGAATTTGAGGAAATAAAACAAAACCGCTAACATGACGCTTCAGATTCCCGCCAAGAAGTCCTGACCAAAGGTTTTGCTTTGCTAATGAGCGAAGTATCCTATTGTTGATCTCTTTATATTTGATTTTTAATTAAACTATTCAATTGATCTCACAATATTATGTTCAGAACATGTAACTTCATCTTGTCAAACTAGAATATAAAAGAAATAAAATTATTTTTATAATAATTTGCAGCATTTTTATTTACTTACAAACAGTCGACCCGAAAAACCCGAAAAACCCGAAAAAACCGGTTTAGTTCGGTTTTTAAAAATAAAAACCGAAAAAACCGGTTTTTCCAAACCGCTCGGTTTTTGCATGCCCTATTAGATACGCAACTGTTTTAACACAATCACCAAACTTCAGATGACCGCCTATGATGGATGTCTTATTAGCACTAACCGAAACCAACGCCACGCATCACCAGGTAGCGTAATGCATTGTCTTAACGCAATCACTTAACGCTACATATTATCATGGTGGACTAACTATAATGAAGTCTCCGCTAACATCGTCAAAACCACTACTTATCATTGGCAGAAACGAGCGCTACGCATCATAAGGTAGGATTACATATTGTATTATTTTAACGCGATCACCAAACGCTCCATTTGTATCATAGTGGACTGACTAATTATGTAGTGTGGGGAACTTGAAGCCGCTGCAGTCGCTGTGTGTGCTGCGTTGGCTGCTGCCGATAGGGCATTGGAAGCGTATGATGTGTTACTGGCTCTGGCAGAGACGAGCTCCTCTACGCATCACCAGGTAGGATTACATATTGTATGTATTATTTTAACGCGATCACCAAACGCTCCATTTGTATCATAGTGGACTGACAAATAGCGGAGGCTGATACTGTGCGACGATTGCTACACGCGTGCGAGGAGCTTGAAGCCGCTGCAGTCGCTGTGTGTGCTGCGTTGGCAGCCGCTGATCGCGCTTTAGAAGCATATGATGTTCTGTTAGCACTTGCGGAGACGAGCTCTACGCACCACCAGGTTAGATACGCAACTGTTTTAACGGTATCCTTCCGTTTGGCCAAATTACTTTTCGCCAAATTTCACTTCGCAAACAACTTATCGCCAAAGTTTCATTTCCCAAATGAACTTTTAGCAAATGTACTTTTCGCAACTAATTCATTTGGTCAAATTATCATTTGGCCAAATTTTACTTGGCAAATGTTTATTTAGCAAATGTTTTATGTTGCCAAATATTATATCCCAAATAATTTGTTTGGTCAAATTGACACTTCACATACTTACTTACCCACCGTTACCCACAAATCAAAGCATAAGGCACATTATCATGGTTTTCACAATAATTTTATGTAAAACATTGCAGAAAATAGTATGGTTGCAAAAAGTAGGTATTGCAGAAAATAGTAGGTTAGGTTAGGTTAGAACAGTGACCCTTAATGCGCGAAGGCGAGCGAAGCGTGCCGCGGCAGCGGCCGCCGAGCGCTAGAATCACCTCTATTGTTAATGAATCATTTGGAAATTTCGATACAAAGAATGAAATAAGGAAATTAATGTAGAACAAATTTTATATTAACTCCCCACTAAGCAAAATAATAACCACAATAATAGCTAATTTGTATACCATTCTATGCACCAATCAAATTATTTTGTAAATAGTTTATCGTGAAATATTTTTGCCTAATGAAACATTTGGCAAACCATACTTTGCCAACCAATAATTTGATAAACAATAATATGCCAAAAAAAACATTTGCGAATTAAAAGTTTGCAATAAGTTGCTTTGCCAAATGAGAATTTGCCAAATGAAAATTTGCGAAACGTTGTTTGCGATGTGATAATTTGGGAAACATTTTTTGGCCAAACATTAGTAATCCTGTTTTAACACAATCACCAAACTTCAGATGACCGCCTATGATGTCCTATTAGCACTAACCGAAACCAACGCCACACATCACCAGGTAGCGTAATGCATTATCTTAACGCAATCACTTAACGCTACATATTATATCATAAATCATAACTATCTACAATAAAGTCTCCGCTAATTACATATTATATCATAGTGAACTATCTCCAATAAAGTCTCCGCTAACATCGCCTGGCGACTATACTACACGCGTACGGGGAGCTTGAAGCCGCTGCTGTTGCTGTCTGTGCTGCGTTAGCAGCCGCTGACAGGGCGTTGGAGGCATATGATGTGTTATTGGCACTCGCCGAAACAAGCTCTACGCATCACCAGGTAGGATTACATATTGTATTATTTTAACGCGATCACCAAACGCACCATTTGTATCATAGTGGACTGACTAATTATGTAGTGTGGGGAACTTGAAGCCGCTGCAGTCGCTGTGTGTGCTGCGTTGGCTGCTGCCGATCGCGCTTTAGAAACATATGATGTGCTGTTAGCATTGGCAGAAACCAGTTCTACACACCATCAGGTTAGATACTAAATAGACGGACGACCCACAGTCTTATGTCTGACCCACAGTCTATAGACAGCTGCGTGCGGCGAGCTCAAGACCACTACTTATGCTCTACATTATCATTGGTAGAAACGAGCGCTACGAATCACAAGGTAGGATTGCATATCGAATTACTTTAACGCAATCACTAAACGCTCCATTTGTATCATAGTGGACTGACTAATTATGTAGTGTGGGGAACTTGAAGCTGCTGCAGTAGCTGTTTGTGCTGCGTTGGCTGCTGCTGATAGAGCGTTGGAAGCATATGACGTGTTGTTAGCGCTTGCGGAGACGAGCTCTACGCATCATCAGGTGGGGAAATACATTGTCTTAACGCGATCCACCAAACGCTAGGTTGTTTCAATATAAACTTTAGTGTCTAGGTGCTTATTGATGCGGCGACACACTGACCCACACTACTAGACTACACAAAACACTAACTAGACGCTCACTCATTTTAGAAACTAGTACCACTGTAAGAGTCGCTTTTGTCCGATGGACTGGTTAACCAATTGAGCTCAAGTTACTCAACATAGACTGATTATGACTATATTGACACCGCGCGGCGTTTGCTGCACGCGTGCGGGGAGCTTGAAGCCGCTGCAGTCGCTGTGTGGTGCTGCGTTGGCAGCCGCTGATCGCGCTTTAGAAGCATATGATGTGCTACTTGCTCTAGCAGAAACCAGTTCTACACACCATCAGGTTAGATACTAAATAGACGGACGACCCACAGTCTTATGTCTAACCCACATGTCTATAGACTGCTGCGTGCGGCGAGCTCAAGACCACTACTTATCATTGGCAGAAACGAGCGCTACGCATCATAAGGTAGGATTACATATTGTATTGTTTTAACGCAATCACCAAACGCTTCATTTGTATCATAGTGGACTAATTATGTATTGTGGGGAACTTGAAGCCGCTGCAGTCGCTGTCTGTGCTGCATTGGCAGCCGCTGATCGCGCTTTAGAAGCCTATAACGTTTTATTGGCGTTGGCAGAAACTAGTTCTACACACACACCACCAGGTAAATGCAACTATTCTAACGCAGTCATGATAAGGTCTTATAGATAGACTAATGTCAAAGTCAAAGTCAAAATTTCTTTATTTGTTTGGACTAATAAATAGTTCTTACAAATCGTCATTTTGCTCTTAAGGAGCCTCTACATGTCTCATAATCTTTTTACCCTACCAGCGCTTCGAGACCAACATTTGGCAAGTGCTGAGAAGAAGCGCCGCAACAAACTCAGTCACCACTGTCTGCCGGTTAATATAAATAAATAGAAATAGTAGTAGTAGGTACATTCGATTCAGGAGCAGTTCACTGAATTTACCATGCATTCTTGTATGGTGTATCTTATAAGCATGGGTATACAAGATTGCGTGGTATATTAAACAAGGTAGTGACGTGCTAATTTCTAGACTTACATATTAAGATACTAGTAGAAATGACTCGCATACATAAATTTGAATAACTTGGATTGACCAGTCCCCGAAAGCAGCGCCTGTTCACAGACATGACGAGTGAACCAGCCATCGCTTCACTCGACCATATTAGAGGGAATGTAACGACCCGCCTCACTACGCCACCACCCCAGAGACATTTTAGTGAGAATGACAATTCCAAGTTATCTCTATAAAAAAAAACTAATAATAAAGCTAAGTAACAGTCCAGATTGAGAAGCATGACACTATAACATTTGAGAAATTATTATTAGTTTATACATTACTTTTCATTTTAATTCTTAATACTAAATCTAATGCACCGACACACGCCGACCGTGCATTAAAATTTATATATTAAAAGCATAATAATAATTTGATGTTCTACTACCAGCGCTTCCAGATGCACTACGCATCACCAGGCATATTTTAACGCCATCTCCAAACGCTTGATGGTTTCAAACAGTAAACTTACACGCCTGCGGTGCATGAAGTTTGAGGCCGCCAACAGAGATTGGTGCTACGCATCACCAGGTAGCGAAATGCATTATCTTAACGCAATCACCAATCGCTAAACAATTTAAAATGTTCTTGACTCCCTGAGTATGTTAGATAAAGTGAGTGATAAATTAGAGACTGATGGATAGACTATACTACCACACAAATGTATTCCATGAAATGACATAGTGTTCCGAAAAAAGTCTTTACATTACACACAATAACAACTATTCGCTTGTTTCCAGCGCGAAGCAGCGGAATCCGTGCGCTACATATAATATCTGCGGCTCACAAATGTGTTCCATGAAATGACATAGTGTTTCGAAAAAAAGTCTTTATGTTTATACGTAATAAGAACTACATTCGTTTGTTCCCAGCGTGAAGCAGCGGAATCAGTGGCGCTGCAACTGCTGCGGCAGTTAGATGGGGCCCAGCGCTCCGCCTGCATCGGCCGCCCGCTGCTCTCGCCGGGACCTTGGCTGTCGCGAGACCAGTCAGTATTTAATATTCATTCACCACTAGTTTGACTAGTCCGTACGCATAACTAGTCACCTTGTGCCCAGCTATTCAGCCATAATTTAATTAGTTTAACTTGTCACCTGCTACTAGTTACCCTACTAGTCATCTCCTATTTTATATACTTACTGAGTGACTGGTCGCTGGTCAGGCACACAAACGCAACCTTGACCAGACAAGACAAGACCAGAAGGATGTTTTTTTGTTACGACACATACCTACTTCCATGCCACTCCATTATCAGTTATACTCAAATACACGTCTCGCGGTGTATTTGCGTCTCGGAAATTTGAATTTCAATTAGGCGCATAAGCGCCTGAATAAGCGGTTAAAATAAAACCACCAATGGCCCAGTATTACAAAAAACAATTTACATATATTTTGTTATGTAAGTTATTAAGTTTAGCTAAGTTTCCATTCCAATTCCAGGACCAACGGCACCGAGATCCTAGAAGCCCATGACTCGTCCCCCGAGAGCGAGCTCGACACGATGTGGAAGCCGGCGCACGAGGCGCGCCTCAGGGAACACTGTGCGCGACTCAAAGCAGAGACAGTGTCGCTGCGGGCCACGCACCAGCCGAGGCTGTTCTCGTATCATGGTAAATACACACACGCTCGTGAGTTCGTGACTTACTCACACGCTCGTGACTCGCTCACACTCTCGTCTCACTCACTCACACCCTCGTGACTCGCTCACACTCTCGTCTCACTCACTCACACGCTCGTGACTCGCTCACACTCTCGTCTCACTCGCTCACACGCTCGTGACTCGCTCACACTCTCGTCTCACTCGCTCACACGCTCGTGACTCGCTCACACTCTCGTCTCACTCACTCACACGCTCGTGACTCGCTCACACTCTCGTCTCAATCTCTCATACCCTCGTGACTCGCTCACATCCTCGTGACTCGCTCACACGCTCGTGACTAATTTACGCTTGTGACTCACTCACGCTCTTGACTCGTCCCCCGAGAGCGAGCCCGACACGATGTGGAAGCCGGCGCACGAGGCGCGCCTCAGGGAACACTGTGCGCGACTCAAAGCAGAGACTGTGTCGCTGCGGGCCACGCACCAGCCGAGGTTATTCTCATATCATGGTATACTGACACATATGCTCTCTTTCTCACACTTACGATCTCTCACGCTTTTAAAACACTCATACGCCTCTCACTCGCACCCATACACTTACAATACATCTGTTATATGTATATTGGAATGAAACTCAGGTTAACTTAACGGCGTATATTTGGTGACTGGCTTCTCATTACAAATACAAGCTTGTTAAAAGCATTTAGGCATACCCTCGTATCGCAATATTATTAATTATAAAGTACCTACATAACAACATCGACGCTGCAATTTGCTTAGAACGGAGACAGTGTCGTCATGAGCCACGCACCAGTCGAGACTGTTCTTCTATCATGGTAAATGTACACAGCACTCAGAGATTGTGTTTTGACTCTCTCTCTCATGCTTTAAAACATCCTCACACTCTCTAAAACACATTCAGACTCACTCCCATGCTCTAAATCACACTCGCACGCTCTAAAACAGTCTTTCCCAAAGTGGGCGATAACGCCCCCTTGTGGGCGCTGCAGGCTTAAAGGGGGGCGGTAAGAGACCCAGAAAAAAAATCGGGACGTAGTGTAGAGGCTTGGGAGTCGTCATTACTAGGAGGACTCTTAGACATCGACTGAGCTCGACTCTTGACTACAAAAATGGGGGGCGCTAAAAAATAATTTATTCTCAAAGTGGGCAGTAGACTAAATAAGTTTGGGAACCACTGCTCTAAAACACCCTTGTATGCTCTCACTCGCACCCATACTCTCTCAAAAACAATTGGAAACTCACACGCCCGTGACGCACTCACATTGATGATTAATAGATTGAGAAATGTTTAATTTATGATTACATTTGTCTTTTTGTAGATATAGACGAAGAAGACATACAGAAGTCAACCACAGGAGCCTTCAGCATGGCTGAAATGGAAGCTGCTGTTATGATGCAGGTGAGACATTGATACTTATTTCCTGACAATATTAATCATCATCATTTCAGCCATAAGACTTCCATTGCTGATATAATTAATACCTTTATTAAGTAACTAGCGGCCGCCCGCGACTTCGTACGCTTGGATCCCGTTTTACCCCTTTCATCTATCTTACGCGGTTTAGATTTTTTCATACAAATGTTTTTTCCCGCTAACTCCCGTTCCCGTGGGAATTTTGCAATATCCTGTTGTAACTAAGCTTTGAGTTTACTAAGGTACCTGCATGCCAAATTTCAAGCGTCTAACTTAAGTGGTTTAGATTTTTCATACAAAAGGATTTTCCCGCTAATTCCCGTTCCCGTGGGAATTCCTAAGTATACTATAACCTGCCCAGGAGTATGAAGAATAATTGTACCAAGTCTCGTTAAAATCCGTCGAGTAGTTTTTTTATGTACTACTATTACATACTACTATACTGTAATAGTCATTATCATCATAGTCTGGGATGCTTTATTAAGTCTTTGAGTTGGTATTGTGTTTCAGGAAATGTTAGCGGCGCGCGAAGCCCGGACCAGTTCCAATCCTCACTCGCACCACTCACACCATTCGCACCACGACCACCCGGACTATAAGGTGAGTGATGGATGGTACCCATAGCGTAACTTCTGACCGAAATACAATGTCTAAGTATACAACGTGCTCCTTTTGTTTTCCGGAAATTTTAGGGGTATATTCTATAAATAAAAACTAGTTAATGAGTCTTAGGAATATGTGTTTTTAAAAGCATATTTTTGAAGATATTGTGGATTCTAGATTTAGAAGATACCTAGTTGATTTAGATTATAGTAGTCTTCTTGTGCAGACTTTTTATTGATAAGTGTATGTAAATTATGAATTATTTCAGTGAAAAATTAAGTTTTTAAATAATTTCGTATGAAAAAATAAGTCGAAAAAAATTGTTGAATTTAACAAAAAATGTAATACCATTCCATTCTTTGAAGTGGTCTTATTAATACTCTAGAGTTCCAGGAAATCAAAAAGAGCACGTTGTATTTGTTTATTTATAACTAGCGGTCCGCCCCGGCTTCGCACGATTGCAATGGAAATTCTCGGCTTTTCTCTTCTATAATATGCATGTTTGTTTATACATATAAAAAAATCTTCCTCTTGAATTAGTCTATCCATTAAAAAACCGCATCAAAATCCGTTGCGTAGTTCTAGTGTAGTAACGCCCGTATTCACAAACGATACTTGTTTAAGTGAAGCAGCAAATCGAACGCACAGCGTTGAATAGAGCTCTGATTTGTTCGTGTGAGACCCCATAGTAATGTTTGTTAATACGGGCGTAAATGTCATTAAAGCCCTGGCGGTCTTGATGTACGCTGAGCGGGTGCCTTTTTGTCAGAGGGGCACAAGCAGTTAATAGGCTAGTTTCCTAAAAAAATTTTTTTAGTCCGTCATGTTTAATATCAAAAAATATTGGACACATATATTTTATTTGTCAATCTAACAAATAATTACATAGTTATGGTGCGTTGAAGTTTCGCACGACGTCACAACGTGCGGCACTTTTATGCACGCATTGACGTCACGGGCCTCTTCTTATGAACTTTGGCGCGCTTTATCTCTTTAAATTTTCATTAGTTTGAAAAAGTGAAAAATACGTGTAGAGTATTTTTTGATAAGTTAACTGACGGACTAATTAAAACTCTTGCTTTTTGACCCAGGAAACATCATTAGGTATCTCTCTGCTTGAATCTATGTCTTGCCTGCTTGTATACCTTTCATGCAAATAAAAAGTTTTCTATTCTATTCTATATTAAATAAGGTTGATTTACTTTTCCTACAGAGCGAGCCGCCTCGCAGCCGTCGCCGCGACCGCGCCCGCCGCCGCGCGCGCGCCTCTGAGACCGCGCTCTAGCGGGACATGACACGCCACGACATGACACGCCACGACACAACATGACACGTCACGACACGACATGACACGTCACGACATGGCATGACACGTCACGACACGACATGACACGTCACGACACGACACGCCACGACACGACATGACACGCCACGACACGACACGACATGGCACGCCACGTCACGACACGTCCCATCACGCCACGCCACGCCAGGCCACCTTATATCAGGCTACGACTCGATACACCACGTAAATAATACATACAATAAGCTAGATGAAAAAAATTCAATTATTTGTCGGTCAAACAGATAATTAGAAAATATTATACTCATATTTTTTATTTTCTTTCATAATTAAATAATAACAGTGCTACCACAGAATAATAATAAGTACTACGTACAGAAGTTTTACTTCGCGAAGGTATTTAAAAAAAATATGCTCAATGTCATTAACAATATGGTGTAATTTAGCCTGTCTCAAGAGTCAAGCACCATTTTGTTGACAAACGTCAGTGATCGGCACTGCGCCGAAGCTATAGGGCTGACTTCGGTAAAATGATGTGACGTGAGGTGCCAAACTGCGGAAAATGGCGGAGGAAATACATGATTTAGCATGAATTATCATGAATAATATTAACTACTTATTTAGGTACCTCTCAGTGTCTTGAGGCAACTTAAAAAAGTACATTCTGTGTTTTTATTATTATTTAGGCAGTTAAATACTGCACAGTATTTAGTACACCATTTTCTTTATTTTCTTCCATCATACACAAGAATACGCGTGCGTGTGCGTGAGTCAATGTTCGCTCGTATGTGAGGCCTTGTCGAATAGTATCCTGTAGGTGGGCCATCGTGCGTGTTTTGTTTTCGATGTAAACTCGCGGAGATGAATAGGCCTGGTGCTACATCGAGTTGAAATGGCGCGTTACGTCACGCTTGAGTAATTTTTTACTCAAAAGTGACGTCACGCGACACAATTTTACTGTAATTATTCGATTATGAAAAAAATTTAAAAATGTGTCCAAATTTTTTTAATTATCTGTCTGACGGACTAAATAAAATTTCGATTTCATTACCCAGTCATCATCCCTATTGCTTAATAATGTCTGTCGTATCTTTCTTCTATCTTGAGGGTCGTAACAGCGGATGCCATAAGAAATTACAACGGGCGAATAATATTAAAATGTAATTATTGAGGAATTGTGTTTACTTGTATTAATTTAGCAGGTCTATACTCAAATGTACAGGTTTCGAACCAGTGTTAGTAGCAGAATTATCATTATGTCAAAATGTACAACCGATTTACTAGTGAAGAACAATTTGTAAGTTCAAGATGGTTCAAGATACAAGAAAAGATGATTTCTTAGGACTTAGTTACTAAAGAACAATCTCAATAAAAAATAAAAATATGATATTAAATGTTATAATATTCGGAATTTTAATAGTGTTTAGAATGTCGACAAAAATCCGACGCGAGGCTATAGTTAGATATTATGTAATTGTTTTATTTAATTTTATAATTCGTCATGGAATTATACACATCTTACTTAATTCCTAATACTACGATTATACTACTAATGATTTAAATAGTTTTTTAATAAAAAAAAATTATTGACGGGTGATTTACAATTGGCCATTTTATGTGTCATTTTAAAAACAGTTTAATTTTAAGTAATGTTTGTTAATTTTAATTGAAGTATCAATGATGCCTTTTTTTAAATTTTAACTAAGTTATTAATAATTTAATTTTGCATGAAAAAAGATCTAAAAACATTTCTGACGATCTCTAATTTCCTTTTGTGGTGCATTTTTATTATATTAAAAAAAAACTTGGCCTATATTGGTTTGAATATGTTATTCGCATTTAATATAGAAAAATAACAATATATTGTACTGTTGCAACATTATAATTGTAAAACATACCAAATAAAGATCAATGTAAAAAATAGATTAGTTAGAGATAATATTGTTACAATGAGGGTTTTCGCGAATGAAAGATCCGCTAGATGGCGGGACGTGGATGTGGGGTCTGACTGCTGCGTGATTGGTGGATTTTGACATATCTGTCAGTGTCATGTCAAAAATAACCAATTATGCAGCATTTTGACCTCGCGTCTACGTATTGCCATTAGAGATGGGTTTCCACCCGGGTAAAAACCCACATGAGGGTAAAAACCCAATAAAAACCCGTTTCATTCCACCCGTGGGTTTTTACACCGGGTGAAAACAAATAGTTTTATAATTATTTCAATTGGTATCTTTTCTTTATTTTTATTGAATTTTTCTCATTTAAGTTTATTGATTAATAAGTAATAAGTCAAATTTAACACTAATATGCATTTATATCGTGGCCAAATCGTAAAATTGATCACGTTATGATGATGTGACCAATTATTTCATAAAATGGTGTTATTTCAAGAATCGTTGAACCGATTTAAAATAAATTTAGTAGGAACACAATAATTTGTGATCATGGCAAGGACATGGAGAGGGGGATGCCAAACATGCCAAACTCTCTCTTTGATGACATTACGGTATAAAGTTACAAATAACAACACCAACTACAAAGTACTTCTGCTTAAAAACTTGAAATCGACCGCCCTTCCGCCACTGTAACGCATTGTAACGTTTTTCAAGACCTCCTCTCCCCCCAGATTGCATTACGTAACACTAGAACGCCCCCTTAGGCCTTAGCAACAAATACCACTTCTCACTTTTAAAAAACGCTATTTTTGTTTTCACCCACCAGAATGGGTGATAATGGGTAAAAACCGGGTTTTTACCCAAATCACCCAGTTTAAACCCAATCGGGTGAAATGGGTTTTTACCCACTACCCATCACTAATTGCCATCTGGCGGATTTTTCATTCGCGAAAACCCTCATTAAGTGATGCTTGACGATGTAAATCACAGTTAGACGTAAGAATATTCTAAAATCTAGACTAACATCTAGTTCCAATTAAAAAACAAATTATTCTCTTTAAGAAATCTCTCATCTGTAATTTTAATTGAAGAAGTAACGAGTTGATTTTGAAATGAAGCTGTTTTGTGTCAGAAATGATCCGAATAAGTTTTTTTCGTGGTTTAAGTGTTGAAAATTTTGTTTATTAGTGTGGACTTCTTAAAATGGTAATATTATTTTTTTACATCAACCGTTTCGTGCCTTCATTTTGTCGCTGGATATTTCAAATATGAAAAGAGTCATATCTCTGAAACGGTGGTACTTTTAATAAGGTCTCTTTATGGGACACCCTGTATAATAAGGTTTGTTTGGATCATTTTGCCACAGCAGTGTTGCCAGTGTACATGCGTAATGGTAGTGATACTAACGAAGTGCTTAACGCGTGATTCCCCGTGTGATTCCATAGATAAAAAAAGTATTTGGTGTTGCCAGAGAGAAAATTACATATGTTTTGTTTGTATCATATTGTTTTTATTTTGTGTACAATAATTTTGGTGCTGTCCTCATTTTTTAAATTTATGTAATTTGGTGCCGAAATAAATATTTTTCTTTAGTCTATGACTGTAAAATGTTGCCATATTGGATTGATTTTACGAAAATCTCTCTGGACATCTGCAAGTGGAGGAATAAATGGTTTTAAATTGCATTTAATGGCATTTCTGTGCTTGTTTGCTTGTCGCCATGAAATTGTAAATGTGTGTAAAAATGTATGTATGTACAGAGGGCGGGAGGGCTGGTGCTTCAGACTAATAATGTCGAATAAAGGTACTATATTAATGATGCCGTTGTTTTATTTTAACTTTTAAACTCGACTCTGTTTAATAAAAATTGCAAGGCAATTTAAACCTTATTTGTTTACGAATATGTTTCAATATCGTTCGTATTTTATAAAAAAATGTTTGCAAGGCCTCTGTTAAAAAATAGTAACGTAATTTGCACTTTGTTCTGTTTTTATGAATATGGTTCAATATCGTTTAGGGTATATCAAAAATTTAAATTTATTGCAAGTAATTTTGTATCTTGTCTTCTTAAATACAAGGAACAATATCGTTTGCATTTCTTTCAAACTTTTCGAAAAAAAAATTAGGATGCGTTGTTGTTATTTACTTATTATTTTGACTAAGTAAGTAAAAAATTAATAAAATATCATTAAATTTTATGAAATATCAAAATAGCAGCTTTACATTTTGTGGAAGTTTTTAAAACACTTTATTTATAAATAAAACCATGAAATGTGAATAAATATTTTATTTATACATAATAATTTGCAACAACGCCGCGGCCGGCGGCGCGGGCGCAGCGCTACTCTATGTACATATACTTAAGGTTCAATTTCGCTAACATATTGCTTTTTTGACGAACTTTTGGCTCATATTATAATTATTTTATGTATTTATATTTTAGGCAATATGACTCCATTTACGGACTATCCGATTTATATTGAACTAGACAAAATAATATACAAATAGGTACAGCTGTCTCATTCTCCCGTTACATGAAAGAGCGAGACAAGTTCATACAAATGTCATTTGATGTCCCTTTCTTCTTGGTTAAGATAGAGCAGGACAACAGTATTCTTATCAACAGCAATTACATAACATTTTTTTTTTTAAAAATGGACATAATAAGTTGAAAAATTTAACAAAAAAGGACTATTTTAAAATGTAAAATATTGTTTTTAATATCATGTTGGTACAAACAATAAAATGGTCATTTGATGCAGTATTAATGGAATAAAATGTATATTTAGAACATTGATAAAATTCATGGTGACATCGATAAAATTAAAATATTAACACTAACAGTCATTTTAATAAGACTTACAATAAATCAGCAGTTAATTTTATACATAAAAAGATCTTACAGTAACTTGTTTGAATAATACAAAGCATTTCTAATATCTTCAATTTAATTTTCTCTCATTGCAACACCAAATAGTGTTACCATTCGAAAAAATTTCGAGTATTCTGTTGCCAGTAATAAAAAATTAAATTCAAGATATTAGAATTAATATTTAAACATCTCGACATTTCAACATATAATTGACGTTAAATCAACAAATACGCGAAGCCCGCGCCGCGACCTCGCTTACACTAAACGTAATTAAAATATGTCGTAGAT